GAAATTTCTAAAATCTCCACGAAACCCCTTCTGATAATACCTAATTTGCTAAGAATATTTAATTTTACGAATGAAACACAAAGCTAGTTGTAATGTAATTAATGTCTGATATTATATGGTAATACCAGATAAAAGTGAAATAGATTATAAATGTTACTTCATAGTTAAGATTAAATAAATAAATTCATCAATATTCAAATTGTTATTTCTAATAAGTTCCAAGTTTATCATTTACTAGTTCAAATGGTATGTAAAACTCTACTAAACAATTCTACTTAATTATATAAACAATATATCATGCATTCAATGAAGCATATATACATATAAGAATACAATTTAAAGTATTAAGTATTAGGAATTCATCATATATATAATTATCCTGTTTCTTTTTTAAATCATTAGTTGCACGATCATTTGATGATGCACAACAATATAAAACTGGTTCAAATTGTTATATGGTTGAATAGTTTGCTAAAAAACAATAGTAATTACACTGGAACAAATTTAGCGTAGAATAAAAAACAAAGATGTATGAAGCTAGAAAAACAAGAATTATTATTTTTTGTTGTTGTTGTTGTTTGTTTACTGGAAATGGAACATAAATACATTTTAATATTGTTTAGATTCATTATGGGTTATTTTGGACACTTCGGATTGTCAGTTACTTGCGTCTGGATTAGTATTTATAACCAACGAATCTATATATACAATTGGAAGAACAGACATGATTCTAATGATAACAATGATAAGATTTATCATTTTCTCAAAAGGATAATTTTATATTTACTAAATTTACGTCGATGAATTGTGATGAATCAATAGATGACTGATTATGTAGACCAGATTGCATTATTTTACTTCTTAAAACATCTTCCCAAGACTATTAACCTTCTTCATATTTGCTTAAAACTATAGATCTAATCATAATACTGTTCAGTTGTTTGTCTCAGAACATGATAGTAAGAAGCAAAATGGATTGTGATAGCACTTTTTATCTCAAACTGACATCATTTAAAAAATATATATATATCCCACTAGTTACAATTTTTTACACGTATCGAGGTACTTTTTCAGGTACAATTCACGTTTTATTATTGATATGGTTTATTTAGAATCATCTCGCAACCTTATGCTATCTACGATTTTATCAATGAGAAAACACCCTCTCTCCTAGAAGCCATTTTACTAATTAATCATTTAAATTTGTTACTTATACTTGATTAATAATCAAAAATGTAGTCTTAAAATCAAATTTCACTTAGAAATTACTCCTGTGTACAAACAAATTATAAGCCACTATAATTGACTTTGAAATCAGTTAATGAGAAATAATGTTCTACTAAGTTATACCAGGATTATAATTTAGTTAAGGTGAATTTAAACGGTTTTATATAATATGGTGTAGCAATTTTTCAATGGGATTGGTGACATTGTTTCAACATTTCTCAATCACGGTTTTATACAAGAATTTCAGGGACGTTATGAAGGAAATCACTAGTGAGCGGAGCATTATATTCTAAGGAGATATGTAAAAACTATGAAATTTTCCTAGTTCAAATCACAAACAGAAATCCCAATGAATGGGATCTCAGTCATCTATAGGTTGAAGATCGGTGCACAAAATGAAGGTAACTAGTTCCAACCTCATGAATAGGGGTTATGAATGTCAGATACTAGAATGAAATGGCTGTTCGTTGTCCTCTGATTTTCAACATAAGTCTAACTAAGATCAGCTTGTGACTTAAACTGTCATAGTTTAGTTGAATAGCTTCATAGAGATTGATTAGATTTGTAGGCTGATTCGTTACAAACTTATGACAGATAAATGCTCTAAATTAAAGACAATTAGAATATATTTTAATTTCTTTTAAGCTAAACAAATGTAAAATCACACTTTTTTCATCATTTCTGAGAAGTATTTTTTATACTGTTTGTTCTTCAGTGAATAACTTGACTATGGAGCTCATTTATAAATTATGATAAATTTTAAGTTGAAAAATATGTGAGACTATAGAATCTATTTCATTGGCTAAATTTATTTGTATATAAGAGTAAATCATGAAGAGTATCTAATTAAAAACAATTTTGCTCGCATATATATGATGTTTCAAAACTTATTCGAAATAATGCTCTATACATTTTCATAGTTGTTTGTGAAAGGTTAAAAGGAAATCATTATTGAAGTAAACACCAAAATATACTCACCTAGTGTTGTTTACATATATCTTCCAATTGTTATTTAGGACTGAAATTAAGCAGTCTTTTATTGGCATATGTGCATACTGTGCGGATTGCCTAAATATTGCCTTAATTCACAAGCACTATAGGCAAAGATGGATAGTGGTTAGCAGTGGAATCCAGGACGCTCGTTTCATCCTATTTAGGATTCGTCAGCTGGATGAACCTGTGTCGCAGAGTTGATGTTCATTCCGGGACTTGAACCTAATATCGTTCGCTTCAAAGAACATCGCGTTATCCATTTAGCTAATGAGTCTTGATAGCCACTTGCTTGTGCAATGGGATGAAGTTTTAAATTCATTTATCACGCACGGAATTCTAATTCACTTCCCTAACATTATATATTGCTGTTTAATCTTAAAAACACATGGATACATTAACAACAATTTTGAAAATTATCCTCTTTCTTTTTTAAGTCATTAATTGCACGACCATTTGATGATGCACAACAATTATTTTTAATTTTCTCAAAATCTCATATTTCAAATTTCACATATGATGTAGATAGAAAACAGAGTGAAATTAAAGTCACTCTAATTTGTAGAAAAGTTTAGTTTTAATACTTATTATATTACAACATTTTGCCTGATATTGTGAACTCCGGTTGAAGGGTATAATTGGAAAACTAGAAGAAGATTGCTTTATTAAACATTTATTTAGAGAACGCGAAATCAAAGTTTAAGTATGAAACTTGAGATGTAATGTTTCAGGTGTAATACTTCAGTGAACATGGACTCTAGGATGCAGGTATATCCAGCTGAAAAGTTCTAAATAGGACGAAACGTGTGTCCTGGATACCACTGCTAGCCACTATCCATCTTCACCAAAATATACGTCCAATTTTTTTAATGCCCATAACTTTTTTGGTTTTGTGGAAATTCGATAGAATTTCGAGGTAAGTTTTATTAAATGAAAATTGACTTTGTATGGGAAAACCAATTATTAATTTCATAATCCTCAATTGGTTAACTTAAGTATAATTCTATCCCTTTCCTATCTACACAGCTAGAGTTTGTCATTCCATAATCGTCGTTTTTAATTCTATGCATTTCTTTTTAATTAGATTTCTTATGTTCAACTTAACATCGTTATTCTCTCTCCTTTGCTGTGTATCTTGTTAACTCCTATTCACGGTTCAAAATCTGACTATAACTACACAATTATCTAGTTTTGAACTCTTCATAAATGTCCAACTAAAGTCATATATTTCATTTGAGTACCGCAGTGAACATCAACTCCGAGATGCGGGTACATCCAGCTGACGTGTCCTAAATAGAAAGAAACGTGCGTCCTGAATTCCACTGTTTCCCACAGTCTATCTTTACTTATTATGAACATATACGATGTCATCATTTTTCAAACTAAAGATTTAATAAACTGTTACTTTTATTTAAATGTATGACAATAATCAGAGTTCTAGCTCTGGCTATTCAGCAAATGTTGTTATTGCCTTCAGGTCAGTATATAGATGACTATAAGATTTTATTTGCTGTAATTAGAACCAAACTGCAAAGTAGAATCACTAATGAAACTTCTGGCAAGGTAAAAAAGAATTTGTCATCTTATGTATTTTTATATCAGTATAATAAAATTATTTATGATGAAAACGAACAGGTTTGCTACTTTATATCATGTATTATTCGAGCTATCCAAAATAATAAAAAACCAGATAGCTAGTTTGAATCTGATTTCAGACAAACACAATTGTCACGAGGAGAAATATTCCAATAATTCCAGAAATCATAATTTGCTATATCGAATAAATATCTAATCATTATCAAATAGGATTATAGTAATTATTTGATACGCTTACGAAAGTTACTTCCAAGTCAATAGCGTAGAATGAGAAATAAACTAAGTAACCTCAGTTCATTGAGGTTGCTTGTTCATCATATTCAGGAGAATCTACCAGCGTGGATTAGGAAAGGTGGATATTAACCAATTACGTTATCAATTTTGCTACATGTAATATACTCATGACGTTAAGCCTCGAATTCATCTTTGGATAACAACTCAACTTAATGATACATACAATGACTCTATTTACTCACTAACCAAATATTTCTGTTATTCCGTAAATATCTTCCTTTAATGAATTACTACATGGTGGTTATAAAATTCACATTAAATTCACACCTATGAATGTACTTTAACTGAATTCATTTCAAAATTCATCGATTGTAAATCCCAATTTGAAGTGTAATTTTAAGTAATGGACATAAGTGAAAACATATTGTATTCTTTTATCAGAGCAAAAACTTATTTAAATATAAAATTTATCCTAGTTTTAAGCTGTAATCAATTAACCAGGCACCTGAACATGAATGAGTCGTTAGCTATTATCAACTTGGTTGTGAAACAGGATAGTAACTGAGATGGTGGAGAAGATTTGCAGATCAAGTGGATGATTTTGACGGAGTTTTGTTCTCTGAGCTGGATGGTTTGGTCGTGGAACGATGAAAGCTCCACGACCAAACCATCCAGCTCAGAGAACAACCAGGATAGTAACTTTTAATCGGAGAATTATTCAACTTGTAATTAAATTCATTTTCAGAAGGGGTTTTGCGGAGATTGTAGTAATTTTAGTATTTGAGATCTTGAGTTGATTGAAGCTAGACCACTATGGGAAACCTGGAAGCAATGTACGACCGTTTCATCCTATTGTGGGACTCCTGAATAGGACGAAACATCTATACAATGTTTTCATGTTTTCCATGGTGGTCTAACTTCAATTAACTCATGATCTCAACTATTGAAATTCATTTTTGTTTTCATAAGAATCAATTTATTTGATAAGATATAAAAAAATTAAAATTTATTAAGTATATAAAATGGAGAAAAATACAGTTTAGTAAATCATACTGTAAGTATTTGTTTAAATTGTTCAATCTGTACAAAAGTGCTGTTTTAAAATTTGTATGTGAACATTGCATAAATGAATGCTGCATGATTTGCTGTTTGCTCAAAGAAAAAAGGTTTTTTTTTTAGAGTAAATTAATGATTAAATTACAAAATTGTTGTGTTGTTTACAATATGAGAAAATGAGATATTATCAAAGTACATTGTACTTTATTCATATCTAAAGAAAGTATGAGAGTAAGAGATGAAAATAAATGTGCAAATTACACGTTTTTAAAAAAAAATATCTTGCTTATTATGATCTAATTGTGTTCCGTAGCTTTTATTTCATGCTGTATTGGTGGCATCCATGATTCAGGCCAAATGGTATTCATATCATTCCGCTGTTTGTCATTTGAAGGCTGTTGAATATAATTTGGATGGTTATTCATTGATTCTGCTTTCGGAGCATTATTATACACCTTGTGAGACCATGGATAATTTCCTTGATTATTTGTTTGTGTCAAATAGATATCATCAAAGGTATCAATATATGAATATAGATCTGGAGGAGGAGGAGGTAATGGTCCTCGTGTCACTCCTTCATTCGTTCCATCAATCTGACTAATGCTTACATCCAAGGGACTTTGTAATTCAGGTATATTATTATATTTTTGCGACGAAGCTGAGTTAGAAGGACTAAGTTCTGATGGTGATGTATGCATAAGCTGAGACTTCTGTGTATCATCTGATCTTGGGAAATTCTCTGATGTAATATGTGCATGGGGAATTCCTGATACTGTAGAATCATCCTCTTCAAACTCTGAATGATCAAGATCTGTTTGATTGTCACAAGAAGAAGAAGGCTTATTTCGGTGCTGGCATAAATCTTTTAATGTTTCAGCTATAAACAAAATCAACGTAAAAGAGAAACAATCGTTAAAAGTTATCCTTGAGCAGGCGAATTAAAAGTGTTTGTAGTATAACACTCTACCAATCTTTTCAAATAATACAAATGTATTTGATAATACAAATATATAGGTGAATTTTACATGGTTGTTCTAATGCTCTAATGACTCATCAGTTAGATTCCGCCTAGTCTTTTGGTTTTTATCATTTCCAGAAAATCATGATAATGATTTCTTCGAATTTAACTCTGAGATTCATCATAATGTTTTCGTTATTCTTGCCTTACAACAACAGACTAATTATCCATAATTATTTGAAAGATAAGCATTTAAACAAAAAGTATTTACAATATGAGTCTCTACAAAATGATTTAATCTGCCATGTTTTAATCTAACATATCTTGACTTTCTATAAATTTAGAATGTTTGATTTTTGACTCCTAATTTAGAATAAATAATATTCATTCTAAATCTATCTACCTTATTTTAACTAATCTACCATAAAGATATTAGAATAACGATGAAGGCTGTTTAAATATTGAAGTTACAGTGAAGAAAAGTGATTAGATTTTGTTTGTTCCAAAGGACGGGTTTACTGCGCAGCATTTCATTCCGTCCTACTTTATGGCTGTGAAACATGGCAGGTAAGAGTAGAAGGTATTCGTAGGTTACTAGTATTCGATCATAGGTATCTTCGGAACATGGCTCGTATAACCTGGGACTACCGAGTAAGTAATGCAGTTGTTAGGAAACGGGTACTAGGTAAGGATGGTAAATCAACTGATGAAGTAGTGAAACTTCATCAGTTGAGATGGCTGGAACATGTGTTAAGTATGCCCAACCACCGACTGCCCCGACGTGTGATGTATTATGGTGTAGGAGTAGGTTGAAAGAAAGCTAGGGGCGGTCAGACCAAAACATGGCACAAATCCATGAATTCACTGACAAGTGAACTGAGCTATGTTCGTACGTGTAGACTACCTAGTTGAGATCTGCGAGTCGATAGCAATCGATGGTTAGAGACATTGAATGACATGACTCAAAATCGTTTGCAATGACGCAGGTGTATCCACTCTTTGTGTCCTCCCAAATTCTAATCTGAATTTTTCATGTCCTTTTTTGCTCTTTCAAAATTTATTTCTCTGGATTATACTCCATGAATAACGTCTTCAAACCCTGATCTTTCCGATTACTGCTCATACTTTTACTACCTCTACCACTACGGGGTTTGAATGGACAACTGCATCTCTGTGCTAATGTGGTATGGCAACTCTAATATAATTCGAAATGACATGTAACCTATTAGAATCTTAGAATAGAGGATAGTTTACATTGTGAACTAGTTTTAGTCATACAACAGTTTTGATCGGCGACTTTTACTTCGTTCTTTCCCGTAAAGACTTTTGGTAGTTATTGGTTTTTAAAAATATAACAATTATCTCACATACAACGTAGATTCTAGTCGGTAATCATTCATACACTTTCCAAGGAATGCAGTGTACTGTACTGGTAACAGTCATCGATAAATCATATGTATGCATGTTGAATCATATCGATCAAGTAGCGATGTGGCTACTAGTGTAGGTGACTTGACGCACCATGCACTGAGATGTAAGATGCCAGTTGGAGGCAGCTCAGTGGTAAACATCTCTGAATGTGAGGCTGGGTGACACAGAATCCAATCCGTAAGCCTGTATTAGTTCCTTCAATATTACAGGCACACCTTAATGATGAGTTGCGAATAGCATGAAAGCAGGGTTTCTTGTCAACTCCCTTTAACCACTATCTTACATCTCAACGGAATGCATCACATTGATTAGTATATCTTAAGAAATCTGGGAGAAGGGTCATGAACGTGTAAACTTCTACCGTAATATTTCAAATAAACAGTGTTGAGTTGTATTTGTCGTTCATTACTTAGAAGAATATATTGTGTAACATAAAAGCAGTATTAGTATTTCGGTCAACTGGTAAGCACAATTGCCTGTATATTGTGTTAACATAGTAATAATAACAGTAATATGCTCTCCTTCCCCCCAACCTTTTTCGACTTGAAGATAAGCTATCAATATAATAAGAATTTCGTGCGTTGGTTGAAGTTAGACATTAACACCATTGGATGCCGGCTCAATGGTCTCGTGCGTGAGTTCACTCACGAGACCGATGGTCTTGAATTCGAATCCTGCGAGCGGAATCGTAGATGCTCACTACTGAGGAGTCCTACACGAGGACGAAATAGTCGTCTAGTTCTTCCAGGTTTTCCATGGTGATCTAATATCAATCGATTCATGATCTCAATAAAAAGCTTAACAATATTCACAACTCCATACTAGTACTAAAATAAAAGTAGTTTCATCTCTTATAAAATTTGTATATATTTTGTTTAAATGTCTTAAAATTGTCACAATAATAATTATTAGTATCCGACTTATATACATTAACATATGGTCAAAACTCGGCAATATATATATATATATATATACAGAATTTCCTATTAAACACTTAATTAAATAAAATGCATTATATGTTCATTTATATATTCACATAATATAAATGAATATTTTTTGTTGTTGTTGATTTCTCTAGCACGAAATATGAACATTAAGAGAAACGAATTCTAATAATATTGACATGAATCAATAAAATATATACACATATGAGTTTGATAACATTTGATTAAGTGAATTCGCTTGTAAGGTAAATATTCGGGTGATGGTGGTGGTGAGGGAGAAAAAGGGTAAACTTAGTTATCACAACGATAATTTATTACTAACTAATATTATCATTAAATATTTATTTATTGATAAAACACACACACACACACAAACATGTATGTATATATATATACACTTAGATACAACACATATTTATAGGTATAAAACACGATGTTGCACAACATTTAAACATTTTAAAACAGAACACATACATATATTATGAATAAACCATTAAAATAAACAATGAACTTACTTTCACTAAAAGCATCAACCATTAGAAGAAAAAAATATATACAGAAATTCAGTCATTGAATAATTGAAAACAAATAAAATTATTAATTTTAAAATAAATAAAAAATTATAATTATACACATTATTCAGTGAAATATAAATATATTTTATCTAATCAGTTTCAGTGTGACAATTTTTACTTTGTTTTCATTAAAATTTATAATTTTTTTTAGTGAGTTCTAGGTTCATTGAGATCATGAATTGATTGATGTTAGACCGCCATTGAAAATCTAGAAGCACAAGAAGGCTGGGTAGAGACAGGTATCTACCTCAGTACAATGGAAGATAGTCGCACGATTTCATGGATTGGTAGAAGTTAGACATTAACACTGTTTGATGCCAACTCAGTGGTCTAGTTGTTAAGCGTTCACGCGCGAGAATGAAGGCTCTGGGTTTAAATCTTGGAAGGGGATCGTGGATGCGCACTGCTGAGGAGTCCTACAATAGGACGAAACGGCCATCCAATGCTTCTAAGTTTTCAATGGTAGTCTAACATCAATCGGTTCATGATCTAAATCAAAAACTTAATAATCTTCAATATCCTATACTGATTATTATAATTACACTTTTTAAAAATGTTTATTGAACAGAATTGATAAATCACTATTTATGTGTTAATGATCATTATCGGTGAAATCGTTCTCTAAGAAATATCTTTATGTGAATTTACTTGATATTGTTTAATTGAATCTTGATATTGCTGTTTAGGACTGAAATCGATCAATCTCTCATCGGCACATGCGTATTGCCTCGATATTGCCTTAATTTACAAGCAAATACATTCAGATGACGAGCCCCAAATAGGACGAAACGCGCGTCCTGGATTCCGTTGCTGGTCCCTATCCATCTGATCTTCACATGAATCTGGAATTTGAAGAGTGACTTAATCTCTGTTATGATTATAAAATATTTGTCTGCAGCAAATATGAGGACATATTTTGCAACGATACTATTACGAAATTTCATGAGCTAAAAATAATTTTTCTGTATCTATAATGAATAATCTCTCCTCTCTTTGGTTGTACTTATGTACATTTGCCTACAAAAAGCATATCTCGTGGCCAAAGCTCGCTTTCAACTTGAATATGAGAAAATATCTTGGTTTATTTCCTATAGTGCTGGGAGTAAAGTTGTTACAAATTTTATTCCTGAATATTTAACTGACTGTCTATTCAATATCGACTTGATGAAGTCTAAAATCTGTGATTAAGAGAATTCCTTCTTTTCTTTCGTCTTACCGTAGTCTTAGTCTATTATTTTATTCTCAGTTCATAAGTCATACACATGAAAATGTCGCCCTCTCTGAAGCTATTTCTCATAATCCATTGATTTTCACTACTAATCATTTCCGAAATTAATTATATTTAATTTCTCTTATACCCATAATTCCTGAAACAAACACACTGTAATGTAATGTTAGCTTATTAGTTTTTTTTCACCAGATCCTTACTTGGGCTTGCCCTATAGAAGTTGCATAGCTTTGTGTTGCTATCATTAACGTTATCACTCTATTTTATGGTTCATATTTCTTCATGTAATGAAGCCTTAAACTCTCAGAAATATACAATTGTAGAGTTTGATGATAAATTTATTGAAATGATATCCCTATCACTGAATTACTTGTTTTTGTGGTTCTAATGAGAATGATTAAAAAAACACTTTATCTTGTCCCAAAATGAATAATAATTAGACCGAAATCATCAATATATTTATTGTGATGCAAAGAAATCAAGTTGATTGATCTCTGAACACCTGAAAAAATCTAGGGTAAGTATGAATTTTGTTAACTGTTAACTACTTTTTTAAGTAATTATAATTAAGCTGCTTCAGAATCACAGTTTTCCTCCTTTCTGATACTGTTTAACGATTTACCTCAATTGTCTGAATATCTAGGAGCTTTATATGGAATTTTCATACTTGTCTATTTGTTACCTAAAATGTTTTTAGAAGATGACAATCATTGTTTTGGTAGCTGTCATAAACTTCGTCAATCAATCAAATAGTTTAACACTTAAATTGTTTTAGGTAAGAAGTGATAAGATCACTTATCTTCATAAGATGTGTCACTACAATTGATGTAAACCAATAGCTTAGAGTAAATTAATTGTCAATTAGTTTGATTGTTATCGCTTATAAATCAAATTTACTTAATTTAAAAAAAAATCAAAGTTCGGAATTCTTTTTGTCTTTTTGTTATATTGGAGAATCTAACCACAATTCACTCTTGTGCATAGGATTATTAAAACTGATTTTGATTTTCATGCCCTAAAATTATATTAGATGGTAAAATTGACTCATTAAAATAACTACTGGAAAAAACTGTCGAAAATGATGTTTAACGGTTTAAAGTGATCGCTAAGAAAACATGGACCTATATTTAAAGCGATTAGCCACTTTGGTAAATTTCAATAGTGTAATAAGAAGACGAAGATTTTCAGAACTATGTGATATATTAGCGCAATACATCTCGAACAATCTGATCACACATATACTTGTTAAGACCATTTATATATATAAAAAATAAAAGGTTAACTAGACTGAAAATGGGGTAAAATGAGACAAGGATAATAATAAGAGTAATAATAATGATAATGTGAACACAATTTGAAACCTAAACACTCTGGATAATAAGTCAATATTACCAGGGTAGGTTTAAAGTGAGAGCAACCTGTTTTTGAATACACAAAGGGGGTTTGCATTTTCGTATGGCTAAGGCTTCAGTAAACCTTAGTTTACGCCCTTTTACACCTTTATACAACACCACAAAAGCCGAGTTAAGATCAATCTTATGGCCTGTTTCGATTATATGTTTAGCAATAGAGGATGATGGATGTTTATCCTCTACTCTTATTGGGTCACTTGATCGTATTTGTTTCTGCAACCATTTTGGTACACGTTCACGTACCCCAATTTTGAGATCACGATTGCTCCTCCCTATGTATGTGTGACCACACACAAATTTAGATTGGTAAACACACTGGGATGTGACCCAGTCGTTTTCATGTTTTTTTAGTTTTTGATGAAGCATGCACCTTGTTCTTCCTTCGATAATGACCTTTGCTGCGCAATACGTTTTGTTGATGACTGTATGTATTGCTCTAATATGTCACATAGTTCTGATAATCTTCGTCCTCTTATTATATTGTCGAAATGGACCTATATGTCGTCCTGAATAACACTCATCACCAAGGTATGTTCCCAAACTCGGGAAAAATGTTACTAGACATGAGTGCGATTGTACATCATTCGGTGCAATAACTACATACATAATCGTTGAGATATGATTCATATACACCAATAGACCACCATGTAATAAGTAGTATCATGTTTCCTAATGTTTAGCCTCAGAAAACTTAATTGATCAAATGTCTTTATTTATAAATTCAAAAAAAATATATAAAAATTCTAAGCATATAGACTAGAACTAGAATTAGAACTAATCATTTTCCTAATTTTTTGTTCAGTGAATAATCTGAAATTACTCAACAGGAGATAGTCGAAATAATGAACCTATCTAATTTTTAGTTTGGAATTTCGTGTTAAACTGTTTTTCTTTATAGAAATACTATTTGAATTATGTTTATTGTAACTATAATATCAGATCATTATCAAGGTTCCATACTTCACTTCATGCACATTCGGGTAAGATAGAAACATTTTCTAGAATTCATGGATTACCATTATATTCTTTGACTTATGATTTCGTTTTAATTTGTTTACATTAAAAAAGTCAGAATACATAATTTTAGATTATGAATGTAATCAGATGCATTATTCTTTGATATGATGTTTAACATGAAATTGGAAGGGTATTTATTGCCTAATTATATTCCAAAAGACTTTCGGACATTCAAAATATTGCACATATTTATATCAGATGGAAATACATACTAAACCTAACTTGCTTTACTAAACATACATGCCTACCTCTTGAGAGACATAACCAAAACAAAGAAGTAAACAATGACAGGTTTAAGGTCAACAACGACCAACCATCATCGAGGTCTACAGAACAAACTGTGAACTCTATGTGGAGAAATTCGAACACTTCACTTCTACATGAAGTTTGTGCTGATGATGTCGTTCAGAACGACGAAAATACTTCTGAAAATAAACTAGTTTTTAACATCAGAATGGGTTTTCGTGGAGATTGTAGTAATTTCAAGAGTTGAGATCATGAGTCAATTGAAGCTAGACCACCACTGGACGACCATTTCATGCTATTGTGGGACTCCTCAACAGTTTCCCATGGTGGTCTAGCTTCAATTGACTCATGATCTCAACTATTGCAATTTTTAACAAATATAACCATGCTATTAAGAATTTCCAACAATTGTCGTTTTGCTCAATAGATTTAACATCTATAGAAAGATAAAAATTGTTTGTAACCCTTTCGTTTTTGTATACACACATTTACATCTCGCAAAACAAATCGATTTAAATGTCAACTCATTAATACTATGAAAAAAATAGAGTTGAATTTTTAAAATACATTTGATTACTTTCAACATAAAACGTAATGACAGATTTTTTTCTCCTCATAGATAATTTTCATATACACTACTAGTAAGAAACACTTCACATTTACAATTGATTGATCACTGTCATATATATCAGGCCCATCTTAGTGCAGATCGAATCCTATCAACAAAGTTGGAATGTGGCCACCAGTCTAAGCGACCTGACATACATGAAATTGATCACCACCCAGTGATCAATCAATTGTAAATATATCTCAGTCCTACAGGAGGTGAGTCGCAGCCCGGATAGCTCAGTCTGACTGTGAATCTGGTTACACGGGACCAAATCCGTTAGGGAGCATCAGTTCTCTCAAGATTACAGGTACACCTTGCTGATGAGTGTCAAGTAGCACGAAACCTAGGTCCAGAGGTTTCCTGATGACTACCTTCAACCACCATCTTATCACTTCATATTATTTAACACAACAACTATCATCATTAAAAACC